AAATTCTTAGTTATCAACAGAAGTTCACAGTTGAAAATAATTAAAAAAATCAAAGATGGAGCCACAGAATATGTTTGATACAATTAACTGAGAAGCCTTTTTTAACAAATGGGAAAATGGGAAAGAAAAATTTTACCCAGTCCTGGAAAAGCAATCAAACACTAAAAGAAATAAAAAGCCTCAAATTAAAGGGTAGATATTTAAAAAGCATTTTAGTAAAGGTACTTTTAGTGTTTATTTTATGGAAATCATTATAAAAATCTTAATTAGTGGCACTACAGTATTACCTTCTACAGAGATGACTATATATTCATATTTGAGCCCAATTTGTTTTCCTAATTATGATATGAAAATAAAATTTCAGCTTTTTTGTTAGTTGTAGTCTAGCTGATATGTATAACAGCATATTTTGTGGTTTTGTAACTGTTCTGTTGATAATTATCCTAGATCTTAAGTAGAAGTCTTTAAAAGCTATTATTTCTCTGAGAAAAAAAAAATTAAGGATTTCCAGGGATAGCAGGATGTTTCTGTAAATTCTGCAAATTCCTATAAATCCACTAGGTGGAGATCTCAGCTTCAGAAGAACAAACTGGGCTTCAAGTTCAACACAATGGATCTTGAACAAAAGGAATTTTAATGAGCTTTATTGCCAATTGTTATTAATTTAAGATTTTAAGAACTAAATAATCCATTGGCATGTAGCTTTCAAGGTTTGATCTCCTGAGTTTAGCATGCCTCTATTGTTCTGTGTGAGTACTCCTCCTTATGCACAGGAATTAAATGTGCTTATAAATATTACATTTAAAGCAATAGCAGAATAAACATCTTTTAATTAATGACACATTTATTCAAAAAATATAAGCACACACAATTTTATTTATGCCCCAGTAAAATGTTTAAAGCATACCTTCATGGCGTAGAATGTTATAATATTCCACATTTCCTAGGGGAGAAAAAGGTTTAAAAGGAAGCAAACTTCTCTCTTTGTTTCTGTACAGGTCTCCGTATCTTTATCTTTACTAGAACAATATGCATATTGCTTACATGCCCCACCTATGTTCTTTATCCCTTCCTATTCAGAATTGTCAGCAAAAAAGACTTAACTTTTTCAATTTGAATTTTTAGCCTTCTTCCTCTTTTCTCCCCAAGATTCAGAACTCTCTTGCTTTTAACTTCAGATCCTGTCCCTGTCATATTACTCGGCCTCTTTGCCTGAGCTTAACTCTGTGCCATCTGTCTGCTTTCCCTGCTTCCATTTCATTCTCTTAAGCACCTTTAAGGTGAGAAGAGCATCTGTGCCAACTACCTGCATGACAAGCTTATTCGAATCCCCAGCTCCCCAGCTTTGTAGAACAGGTTACTTTTTTTCTCTGTTGCTGTCTTTACTTTTCTCTTTCTATTTTTTTTAAAGCATTATCCCTTTATCATAGAGTGCTTAGCTTCGTTCTCTCTCCTCACTGCCAACAGAATCCCTGATATGTAAGGGCCAACACCTACTCTTGGTTACTAGCTGCCTTTCAGAAGGCACCAATGATAGTTCTAGACATTTCCCTCTTTTCCATTTCTGAAATCCACTCTTTCACCTCTTTATGATGCTGCCTTTGAAATGGTTGTCAGGGTTACCCTGGGTCCCAAATCCATGGTTGTCATTGTGGTCCCTATGTTCCAATCAGCAGGATCCCTGTAACACAGTACACGATTGGCTGACCTGACTTCAGTATCTTTTCCTTCAGTTTTGACCTAGTCATTCCCAACTTTTGGAGGCACATATGACTAGGGTGCTTGTTCAAATGCAGTCTCAGGCTCCATACCAGAGATTTTCATTCAGTAGAACTAGGATGGAGCTCCAGAATCTTCTTTTTAACAACAATTCTGGATAATCTCGAGTATGTATTTTCCTGCTCACATGCTGAGAAAAAAAGGTTTTGCTATACCAATGAACACCAGAAGATTATTCAATGTTTGTTTCTTAATATAAACTACATATAAATTTTAAGTCAATAAACCCTTCATACTCAATTCAAATAAATTTTGAAAAAAATCACTTTTATATATATTTTCACTGCTTTAGAGACAAAGATAGATTACTTATAACTTCATGTCCAAATTCCCATTCAGGTTTCCAAGACTTTCCAAATATGATTCTATCAGGATTCTTTTCTACCTCACATTGCTTTCTAACAACTTCCAAAGGACTGGTATTCTCACTGTCCTCTGTGTACCATATTTGAGTCTTGACTAAGAAGATACATATATGAGAAAATACTGGGTTTCAAATTCAAGGAATGAGGAAAGTATAGATATGAAAGAACAATTCGTAAAGAAAGTAAGGAACAGGATAGCATGATGTTGGTATCTTAGATCCAAAGAAGAACTTGTTTCAAAGAATATCTGTCACAGAAATTTAACCTCTCAGTGGTTACAATGTTCCTACAACTAGTAGGTCCCTTGTCCTTTTTCTCCCAATGAATTTGTACATGTCCTCCTTGCTTGAGTTGGGTTATTATCTCACTAACCCTTCATTCTGCAAGCTCCTATATATGGTTCATGATCTCCCCTCAAGTATCACTTCTTATGGGAAATTTTCCCTGACCTATGATATCTCCAACTTGCTAGTATTCTTTTCGTATGCATTACCATAAAGTCTTTTTTCCTTTAATCTTGTCTTTAACTGTAGAATCATTAATATGTGCCTTTAATTAATCTCCATATAACTACTGGACTTAAAGTCCATGAAGAGTGCATCTTAAATCCTCAGCCCCTTTCATTGGACAGTATATAGTAAGAACTCAAATTAATTGTTGAAGGAAAATAAAAATTATATCATTGTTCCCTTTTTTTTTTTCACCACTCAGTCTACTGACATGGTAAAGACCTTGCTGGGTGACATAATGATGACAGAAGCAGCTCAACTTTACAGTGGGGGGTGGATAGCAAGGCCAAGCCAGGACTGAATTGAGAAGTTCAGACATTGCCAGAAAGTTGGAGATTTGCTTTCCTAATGTGTTTTCTCTTTCTCTTCCTCCCTGAACCTCATCACTACAGCTCAGACTCACTGCTTAGCCCCACGATGTTCCCACTAAGCAATTTATTTGGGATATATTTATATATATATATATATATATATATATATATATATATCTTTAATAATGTCCTCCTTTAGCCCTATTACTATTTCTCTTTCTCATTTCCCAATATTTTGCTTGAGGCATACATTCCACCCTAAACATGCTTTTAGAATAAGCCAATGATTTGCTTTTATCTCCAAATGAAAACTTCCACATGTCCTTTATCTATGATCATGGGATTAGCTAATAAAATAAAAAAGATTCCCTTGATGGCTATTTTATGTGTAACTTTGGTACAACTCTCTTCATACAGAGAGAAGGGACATCTGTATTGGGTGCTTGACACATTTATCCTGAGAATATATGCCTGAGGTTCATATTGAAAACAAAGACAAGTTTTGCCAAATTATTTTAACTCACATAATTTTCAAGATAAAATTTCCTAGATCTCAAAATCTAGATGTGGAACTAGAGGTATTGACAAGCAAGTGTGGTATTTGTTCACTTACTCAGAAAAAAAAAAAAAAGCATCTAATAGGTGATAAGTCGTAGGGTGATAGCAGTGACAAAACAAAACAGGCAATCATCATCATCATCATCATCATCCCTTCTTCTATGTTCTATGGAGCTAATGTTTGGTAGTGAGAAGATTCTTAGCCTATAGCATGTCAGAAGGACTGGTCAGAAGTTTATCTGAAATACTCAATCCATATTCCACAAGAACCTTTATTTTCTTCATAAGAGTTTCTGTGCTCTCAAGTGAGATTGGATATGACTTGGTTTTTACCTTTAGAAAAAGCAGGGGTTTGCCTTTAGAAAAAGAATAAGAAACTTGTTTTCTCTATCTAAATGTGTGGACATTTTACTTTGTTGTGGTACTTTCTGAAATAATAACAGCCACACTTTATTGGCTCCCTTGTCGAAGAGTGATGAAGTGTCTAGGATTGATCAGAAACAAGATTGTATAAGAAAACAACAACAATAACTAGGATGATTTGGGCTGGCAAACAAAAGCCATTAAGCTTTTTTGTATGAGAATTTCCAGGGTGAAGAACATAGACTAATACCCTCCATTCAAAGGAAAAGACTCAATGGATATACTGATGTCGAGACACAAGAATTTCAATAAATAAGAAAATAACTGGCCAAGGAATTCTTGGACACACGACTGAACTGTAACACCAGGAGAGAAGCTGTAGGACCAACTCAGTCAATCTCTGAGAATAGTAGACATCACCTGATATGGCACACAAGTGAGAAGAATCACTTTATGGAGACTAATGGTCTGCTATTTTTTCCTAGTTATAGATTGTCATTCCCCCTTTACTCTCTTAGATTTAAGACCACATTTAAAATATTCTTTTGGCTGTTTAAATATCCTCCTTTACTTTTACTTACTCTTTCCGTAGCATTGTTCTCTTCATTTGAGCTCTAAGTCTGTGTTATTAACCACATCATCAATCACTTAGAGAAGTAACAGAGGACTAGGACTCAGGTCTTCTGATTACTACTGCTTGAGCTGGTGCTCCTGAAGACTACTTTCTCTGGGGTCTCTGCCTGAAAGCCTACTTTGCATCAAAAGCCAACCCAAATCCATCTTGTACCAATTTCTTTTGTCAGAAAAAGACTAAGTGTGGCTCAAGTATAGTTAATAAAATTGCAGCTGAGATAAGACTGTGAGTCATCTCTCATACCCTGGTCTCTCTCTTACTAATCAGTTGTAAGAAACATTTCAAAATCAGAGAGCAGCAGCAAAGAAATATGAGCTATTCAGACTTCTTGAGGCAATTAGAGACTAAAGAGCAGAAGATAAATTAGTCTTTCTGCCTTGACAGTCTTAAAATACACCCTGGAAGTAGACTTTGGAGTTACACTATTTGTGACAGATTTTGACCATAACACATTTTCTAAGAGGACATAAAAATTACTCACTTCAGGACATGCATTCCACCCTCGCATCAGCAAAGATGATATGGGTTTGGGAATGGAATAGCCAATCGGAGGCCTAATATGGTGATAAGCCATGTCTGCTGCTGCAGCTGCTGCAAAACAAATGGGTCATGTCAGTTTTGAAATTCACATATTTATATCAAGAAACAGGAACAGATACACACACAAAAAGTCATCAAAAATCAGTTTGTATAACATCAGTTGAGCTTCAAAGACACTTCTAGGCTGTGTTTTTTCCTCTGTGCTTTTAACAAAATAGTGGAATATTTTATAGTCTGTCTTTATAATTGTTCATTCATTTGGCTGTTGGCAATAAATAGGAGAAGTGAAATTTTTTAAAGGAGCAAATGACCATAGAAGGAGCAAGTCATTTAGAGTGCTTTAAGTACAGAGTATGTGCATGTTATAGGAAGCAAAGACTGAAGGTTGGATTGGACAAGATTGTATGATGTCATAACTCCAAGGCTAAAGAGATTATATTCTGCTTACCAAGCCATGGGATAATGCTGAACTTTGTACTTTTAAAGGCAGCTATATTACTTTGGAAAAACAGATGTTTAGTTAAGCTCAAATTTTATCACTAATACAAGGATTCTGAGATTTTAATTTTTAATATTTATAAACTAGTTATTACTTGTTAAACTCTGTTAGGCACTTCAAATCCATTGTCTTAGCAAATACAACTCATTGATTAAATTCTCTAATATTACCTGCTTACATGGATTTCCAAATAGTGTTCATGTCTAGTTGTGCATCACTATGTTACGATTCTAGGGACTTCACTGCAGATTCCTGATTGCTCAGTAGTTTTCTGTTCTGCAAGCAGTGAATTCTATGCTACCTTAGAAACCAAGCTCATAGCTACTTTTATTAAAAAAAATTTCTGTCAGGCATCATGGTAGATACACACACACACACACACACACACATACACATACACACTTCTTGAATCTTCTTAACCATCCAAAGTAGGTAGATATTATTGTATATGTATGTGACAGTTTTAAATTAATAAACATTTTAAGTATGCTAATAGTTGGTATAGCCTTTTGTTCCAAAGTTCATGCTTTTTGAGCACATGATATTGTTTATTTCTCAGAAACACTGTTCTTCACCAGTGGGAGAATAAAGTTCCAGTATATTGCTGCTTCCTGTTTTCTAGCTCATATTTTAAGCATATATCAGTAGCTTAATGACTTTTGAGATATAAGCCATACCCACTAATTTTCCCCCACCAAAATCCACTCCCATTTAATTCTGTTTATCCATCTACTTCCAGTAGAGCTACTGAAACTTCATGCAGTGTAACTGTGTAACTTAAAATATATTTTGCTTTATGGATTATTCTGAATTACCACTTAATGAAATTAACACTTGTTCTTTGCAGAAATTGAGAAAATTAAGAGAAGGATTAAGGAAATTTAGAGAATAAGGAAGAAAAATTGTTATCATTCAGAGGCAACGGTTATCAAAATATTTTGAAAATTTCTTATATATTCTTGGTATCAGGAAGCTTATGCTGATAGACAATTATGTAATTCCTTTTTCCTAAATTAAAGCATTAGGTTAAGCAATTAAGCATTTCTCATGTTATTAAAACTCTAAGTTAACATATTTTTAATGACTCTGCATTTAGTGTGATTTGCTTAATCACTTCCCAATTTTAGGTCGTTCCAAATACTTCAAAGAATATCTTTTTTCATTTTGTTTCTCTATTTCATAAATTATACATTATGACATATTAAGGGATGAGAATAATATATTGAAGGGCATAACTACTTTAAAGATTTTGGTACATACTGAAAACCTATTACTCAAAACAGTTGTATTAATTTATACTCTGAATAGCAAGTGCATATGAGAGTTATCATCATATCTGCACCAGGGAAACATTTTACTAGTATGAGAGGCAAATAATCCATCACTCTTGTTTAGATTGTGTTGTTTCTTATCACATACATCACTACTTATCAAATGGGTCCTTTATGTCACAAAATTTAGCCATGTTTGAATCTTTTCATTGATTACTCTTGATGATTCTTAATTCCTTCTAGAATTAGTAAAACAGTAAGCAAACAAGCAAACTATTGCTTAATGATCATTAATCTTCTGTATTCCACTCTGTTACCTTATGACTATTCGAATAATTCTAAGCTGGTACCACTATGAACACATAAACCAGTTTAGTGAACATATTTAAGTTAATTAGAGGTCTCCTAATGTGCGGAAAGGGACCATGCATAAAATGAGCTAAACTCAGATGCAGATCCCAATCATCTCCCTTCTGAGACTTTTAGATTTAGATATCAAGTGTATGAAGTTACTTGCTTTCTTCTTGGCACTGTGTCTGGAAAATCAGTTTAAGATGAATGATATTTAATTCTTCATTATTCAAAGTAGATTCTGCAAAGCTCTGGCATCTCCTTCTCCTGTTTGATTTATGCACTCTTGGCAGTGATACTACTCATTATCACCTCACCAGAAAGTGGGCAGTACAACATGAGGGGTCATGGAATTGGAACTTGTCACCTTCAGATGGTTTTGTCAGTCTTGTCTATGTGGCCAGGCTATATGAACAGCTGGGAAATTTTCTGGTACTACAGATTCAGGAATGAGACTGTCAGCTCATTCATCAAATTTTTGCCTTGATCATTACAAAAATATGTAAATGTTGGTTTCTACTTTCAGAAGGAAAACTTTGCCATTAAAAGAGAATGAGACTAAGTTTAAAAATAACTACTATATATTGAGCAATTATTATTTTTCAACACTATCCTGAAATAATTATAGCTTATTAAACCTTAAAACTAGCTTCTAGAGCAAAACACCTCTCATGAGACTCTCTGTAACCAATGAAAATATTCTTCTGCACTGTTCAATATGTTGGCATAAGAGTGCTGAACTCTTAAAATGTGGATAGCGTCACTGAGAAACTGAAGTTTTAATTTGTTTAATTTAAATTCAGATAAATTTAAATTTAAATAGTCATGGCTAGTGGCTTCCATATCGAACAGCACAGTTCTAGAGGATAGAGTTCTCCCACTCCCATTATCCTGAATAATGAGACCTGAGTTAAATACAATTTTATAATTCAACCTCAAGGATCTATGTAACCGTGGAATCAATTTGTGGATTCAAGTTCTTCATTATTTATCAACACTTTATCAAGAAAAAAAAAATGAATGAAATTTGTTGGTGTTGTCTTTCAAAAGAGATAGACCAGTGAGCTTCAGAACAGGCAACCAAAACAAAATGTGACAACTTTCATTCATTTATTCATACATCAGAATGTATTAAGTATTATTTGTAAGTATAATAAGCAAAGAAAAAAACCTGGTGCTATTCTTTTTGGTAAAATTTGGCAAATGCACAGATAATTAATAAATGAGTAGATTTTCTCCTGCTTTTTATTGTTCAATTGTAGATTCTGAAAAGTGATTCCTTTTGCCCAGAATGTTCTTCCCTAGCCTCTTGTCCTTCATAACGTCTGTTATTTTCTAGATCTTAGCTTAAGTCTGCTTTCTCTGGGTAACCTTTCTATTATGTTTCTAGCACTCTATACTATTATAGCATCCCGTATACTCTACTGTATTGCCTATTTACTTTCTTTCCTCTGTGTGCAGATCACAAGCTCCTGGATGCCAGCACTACATCTTTTCATGATTGTATCTCTGCCTCGAACAATAACTGGCAATTAATAGATATTCAAAAGGTTTGCATTAAATGAATAAGTAAAAGTGATAGTTCAAAATGTCCCTTCACTGGAAATTAATACAGATTCTAATAGGACTTGGTAAATATTTAGTGAATATATGAATGAAAATATACATAAATGACTAGGAATAATTAATTACTCATTGCATTTTCAGAACAGCACAATGCTTAGTTTTCAAGAAACATTATAGAATGAATATTATGTTTACTTTAATATTACATTACAACATGATCAGGTAAATTATTGAGATCTGGTGGCCAATTCAGTCAATAACATTGTCTTTTGTTCAGAAAATTTGGTGAGGAGCTTCAATAAATGGAAGCACTATAACACATTAAAGAAATGCCCTTAATAGGGAAATCTGGAGACCTAATTTCTCTCTGACTTTGCTCTAAACTCTCTGGGAGATCCTAATTAAGCCAATTTGCCTGTGTGTGTAATAATTTCACTACATGTAAGATGAAGCAGGAAATATAAAGTGTAATGGTGCTGCGTGGTGCACTGGGGACAAACAGTCATGCATTTAAGCCTTGATGACACCTCTTAACTAGCATGTGACATTGAGCATGTGTCTTATCTATCCTAAGAGGACCTTTATTATGACCTAAAGCACGTGTTTTATCCTAACAGGACCTAAATCATGAGGACTAACTGATAAAATATCCATACAACACCGAGCACATTGTTGGCTCTCAACAAGTGCTAGCTGTGTTGTTGTTGTTATTATCATTATGTACAAATCTAAGGGTTGAATTGATAGCTTTCAGTTCACACCTAGAGAACTTGATGTCAAAAAACATCATTGTGTGTTCTCTGTTCTATTTAGACCACCAAAAATCTGTAGTGATTTTGGATTCTTTGGGTGTGAATATCAAGTAAAACTTGATATTGAATTACCATAAATTTAAAAATTACAACCTACCTAGTCTACCATCAGGCCCAGCTCACAATGCAACTGTGGCGGGGATAACTTTACAACTCTATGACAAACTATGTATTCCCTGCTTATGAACAAATTGATATTAGCTTCTGAATTCCTAAAGTTAACTCTTACTGTTTTCTACTTTATAAAATTAAATGTAGGCATTTGTATTAAAAAGAGAAAAAGGAGAGCAATAAAGCAAAATATTTTTTGTTAGTATTGACCAAGATAAAGTGGCAGAATATGTTTTTTTCAATTTTGACTGTGTGTATATGTTCTGAAAACCACAATTGATTCTATTCTATTGTTTTTAATGAGCCAGGCGGTGGTGAGACAAAGCAAATGTGTTCTACCATCCCTGCAAGAGCTAAGACACATTCTTTGTTAAACTGACACTTTTCAATGATGTATCACCATAGTGTATAGTATCTGAAAGAGACCATGAGATTACAATC